ACATGTGCACACATACACACAGACATGTGCACACATACACACAGACATGTGCACACATACACACAGACATGTGCACACATACACACAGACAAGTACACACACACACACACACAGAAAACACTCGAGTACTCTCCAACCTCCTCACCTTGAGCTGAGCGATCTGCTCGTTGCCTTTCTCGAAAGTGGCCTCAAAGTCTGTGCGGTACTTCTCGGACAGCTCAAAGGTGTTGCTCTCCAGCTTGGCCTGGTGTCTTTTCTCCATCTCGCAAAGTTTGTCCATGTGGACTGTTTCCAGCCTGACTCTCTCCTCCCCGGCTGTCTTCTTCGCCAGCTCCACCTCACATCTCAGCTCCTCCAAAAGTTTGTCGCGGGTCGCCACCTGCTGCTCAGCCTCGTCCAGCAGCTTTCTCATCTCCGTCTTGCAACCCTCCACCTCCAGCTCGAGCTCGAGAGAATGTTTTGTTTTCAACTCCTTGACGGCCGAGTCGAACTCTGCCTGCTGCTCTGAGAAGTTCTTGGTGAAATGGCTTTGGTTCTCCAAGAGTCTAGAAGAGAGTTCCTCGTTATGTCGGTTGAGATGGAGGACTTTCTCGTTGTTAGCAGCCCGGGCTTCCGACAACTCCGCTTTCAACGCCAGGATGGAAGTGTTCAGAACTTCCTTTTCCTTCACAAACTCCGAGTTAGCATCGGCCAGCACGGAATTGTTGAAACAGCTCACTTTCTCTTCCACTGTGTTCAAGAGGGAAACCACAGACGTATCAACATCACGTTTGTTGTCCGACACCGAGCTCTTCAGCTCTTTCAGAACATTCCGGAAAGACGACAACTGCTCCCTGGCAATGGTCCGGAACTCCAGCAAACGACCACGAACTCTCACTAGACTCTCCTCCCCTTTGTTCACCTCTTTCTGCAGTTCTTCATTCACAGCCCGTGACTCGCTCAAGCTGAGCTTCAACTTGTGTAAGTCAGAGTTACAACTCTCCACCTTCGTTTTCACATCGACAAGTTCAGCCTCCGTGGCTTTCAACCTAACCTCCAACTCGGTCACAGTTCGGTTTCTTTCCTCTATACATCTGTTGTACTTCTCCTCACAGACCAACTTGTCTTTTTCTGTATCCTCAAGCACATGACTGAGCTCCTCAATCGTTTGTTGACAGCTCGCAATCCTCCTGTCTAACTCCTCCTTAGCCTGAGCCTGATCACAACAACACCGCTTCCCCTCAGCCTCCTCTGAAACTTGCTCGAGCGCCACAATTTCCATATTCTCCGCCTCCGACGAGTTGGAAGTCGAAACCTGCTCAGAGACATCCACCACACCAACTAGTGTCGCTGAACTGGACTGCTTGGTGACATTCACTGGGCCTGACTCTGTCCCACAACCATCCGACGTTTGCCTGTTGTCCCTCTTCCTCAACTTCTCCTCCAAATCGCGAATCAGATTCACTTTATCCAACAGTTCAGCTTGGAGAGAACTGATCGTCTCCGAGTCGCTTGTGCTTCTCATCGGAGACGGCATCGCGTCCTCGATATAAAAATCTGCTGTGGCAAACTCGGTGGAAGAGAGCGGAGAGGTGGACTCCGTGGTGTGGACAGAGTTGGCCTTCGTCTTCGACTTCCCCGACTGACTACCTTGGCTGGCCGGCCGCTCCCCGCCTGCCCCTGCGCCCATCGCCTCCGTCTGTCCACCCGCGGTGCTCTCAACGGCGGTGACAGTCTCGGAACTGATGGCTTCTCGCATAGTGTCCGTCAGACTGGACACTGCCGGGAGGTACTCAGTGGCCCGTGACTCCTGGAGTTCAGGAAGGGAAAACGTCGTGGGTGGGGCTTCTGTCGCTGTCACCACAGAGGGAATGTCGCCGAGCTGGGGAGATAGAGAGACATGGTTGTCAGTTGTTTAGATTAGTGCCAGAGGATGGACTTTCCTAAATTAACCACCACCCCAACAAGCACAATAAAGAAGAGACCTAACCCTTACCCTGATCCAACCCTGACCCCAAACCCTAACTAACTCTCTATTCTACACGAGTGCTGAAGATTGGATGTGTTATCAGAGAGTAACAAACAAATGAAAAGAAGGAGAGATATGACAATAAATGTTTTATAGGAAAGAAGGAATAAACCACACAGGAGTACCCATCAATCGCCCACATCGAAGTTAAGTCAAGCTCAAAACAACCACGCAAATAGTCCTAGGAAAAAGTGAGACCAGTAGACAAAAAAAAAAAAAACAGGAGAAGAAGAAAGAAATAGAACCCTCAAGTGACACCCTCCAAACACCCTCTAAGTTGAGACACATATGAATGCCGGTTTTTTTAATGAAGATGCTTTTACACCTTCACTGACACAGTTTATATCATTTAGGAGGCAGGCTTCTGACTCTGCCTGTCAGGGCCCACTGGAGCTGAGAGGGGGAGGAATTCCATAATGAGCGACCACTATGAAACAGAGTAGAATAGAGAGTTTGGGCTAGGGTTTGGGGTAGGGGTAGGGTTCGGGTTAGGATTAACTGATTTGGGGTAGGGGTAGGGGTAAGGGTAGGGTTTGGGTTTGGATCAGGGTTAGGGTTAGGTCTCTTCTTTATTGTGTTTGGTGGGGTGGTCTGGTTGCTCCTTATGGAAGTCCTTCCCTGAGAGGGAACAACATCCCAGCAGAAAGACCAAGCCTTATACTTGATAAGACTTTCCACATGTGACAACAAAACATCCAACCGCTACACCATGGATGCCAATGTACATGAATCAAGAAGATAAAAAAAACTACAAACATCAATAACATTGAAGTCCATGTCTGTCTAGATCTAGATCTATATCCCACAAGAAAGTATCAGGTTCCTTGAACACACTTTGCTCAACAGACAAATTGAAACAGCTAATGGAACAGTGGGGAGGTCAGAGAACATTAATTTCACACACAAGTCACTTTGACACAGGAAGTTTTGCCTCCTATTTCACCCC